TCTCAAGTTCATTCATTTCTTTTTGCAAGTTGACGGCATTGTAGTACTATCTGATGAATGTGTATCTCGAAATTGGCCAGGATCATAACAGCATAGAAGAAACCTCCCTGCACAATCACTCACTGACAGAGTGAGCTGGGAAGAAGTGGTAGAAGACGATGCATGGCAGTGTCAAATAATAATCTCTCCTCCACCTCAATCTCTTCTCTTGCAACTCACCTCAAATCAATAGACCACGGATCTTGATCCAGGGAGCTATGCTTACAGCACATCTCTCTCTCTCTCTCTCTCTCTCTCTCTCTCTCTCTCTCTCTCTCTCACACACACACACACACACACACACACACACACACACACACACATGGTCAGGCTGGTGAATCGGGAACAGTATGCGAATGTGCACTTGCAAGCTCAACAGCCTCCGAAGAACAATCTGGCCTACCCTCCCCCCTCCCCTGAATGTGGCCAGGTTGCATCCCTTGCCTGTGCAGACCGAACGGATTCTGATGCAGATAGTGAGGGGTGGCCCTTCAGCCGATGGGGATGAGGAGGATCAGTCGCAGGCATTGGCATGCGTCCAGATTGCACAATTGGCTCCACCCACTCACAATGGGATTCATCCTAGCAGCTGGTTATTTGATCTTCCCTCTTGGCCACTACCCCCCCCCACCACCACCTCAAATGCCAGATCTGACAAAACATGGCCACTAGTCTACACTACCTTCTTCCCCCGAGTACAACATACGGTCATTCACACTCATTATAGCTGTATTTAGACTGAAAGATACCCCAAATTCAGCTACCATGATCGTACTTTGTATCCCGTGGAAGCCTGTACTCTACTGCAACAGATCTTACAACAAACGAAAAACTTTGCCTGAAATGTGATTGCCCCATGGACAAACATCTCTCCACTAAACCTGGACCCCACACTGCAATGGGAGGAAATCTCGCCGCCGCCGCTGTTCGAAAACCCGCATATATCACAGATAGTGATGGTAATGTTAACTGTTCGAAGCCACAACTAACTCCACTAAGGGAAATGTGGAATGTGGCTGAAACAGGGAATCTGAGATCTCTACTATTGAACAACCACCTAGTATGGTCAGTTCAATGACAAATGTCTCAAGGGCATCGACATTTCCAAAAAAAAAAAAAAAAAGAGGTGATGCAAATCATGCAATACAGACATGACACGCACACCCCCCCCCCCACCCCCACCCACACAAGCCCTGTCTCTTATACACATCTAGATGTGTATAAGAGA